GGGGGTGGGGGGGGGGGGGGGGGGGTATATATATAATAAGTCCACAGTTTTATGATAAGCTATGAAATCCTTATAATCAAGTGATGATAAACTTACTCTTTGTAAATAAGTAATGTTAGTGAAATTAAAGAGCGATATGCTTTAGCTCCATCCCTAATCCTGACAGTCTGACATTGTCTTGTCAAAGTGCTCACTGTACATATTGTGCTCATAACACAATTTACTTTATTATATAAACTACAATATAAAGTTAAAACTTAAGATTTAATTTAAACTTTGATTTCGTATAAATTCTCAGCTTTCACATTTTTGCAATATCGCTATTAATAGTCTGACACTGGTGGCTAATTAAGCAGTCAACATATTGCTAACAGGAACAGCACTGTATTACATTATTATAGGCTACAAAAAACGGGGGGGGGGGGCAGAGAAAAGATTGAAAGTTTTCACAAATCGAGCTCGACCTAAAACAATGTTTTTGTATTCCAGCAGTCTGCTTGTTTATAGAGAATGAAGAGTTATGTCACGATCTTTTCACTCCGCATTGCATTTCGGGAAGGCGCTGCCATATTAGCAGGATATGCTATCCGTTCCCATGGTTACTTCTCATTCTCTATAAGGATAAATGCTACTCTTTTGTTTTGTTTTTGCCTTTAAGTTAAACAACCATTCATTCTTCATTGTATCGTTTGCAGGGAAGAGAAGCTATTTCATCGCACTGCATGGTATGCACTGCATTTCTCTCTTAGGTTTTGTAGAATTTGGTTTACAGTGTTTACCCGATTAGCGTGAAAACAGTGTCGCCCGCTGGACGCTCGCTGCTGCTTCAGCCATCATATGGTACATTATCCAAATAAAAGTTTGTTCAACAAGCTGACAGAAGTCGATCCATTTCTTTGTTGGAAACTTTTAAATGACAAAGTATAATTGTTGTCATTATAAATTTTCCATGGTCACGGAGGAGAATCACAGATTGTGGGTCACATTCAGCGAACAGTCACGAACTCACTGTACTTTTTATATTTATTTCAACAAATAACAAGCAAAATCAAATCCCTAGGAGTTTAGGGAAAGTTTTGTAGCATTTTCAAATGCTGGTTTAATGTGCTAAG